ACATATTATTAAACATTAAAATCTATCCATTGTGTCCTATATATTTACAAGGGGCATTGTGTCCTATATATTTGTAAATAAAGTAGTATCGAAACCGGAAGAACTTCAGGTAACATTCTTAATGTCTCGCGTACGAAAATATTTCTCTTTGATCATTACACATATATATCAACCCTATTCCAAACTTGTTGTGCGCGAAATGTAAGGATCGCTATACCCAGGCTATACCTTACAGCGTTTGCTATTCAATGAGGGGTACTGGCTTATAGCAGGTATGATATTATGTCATATATTTGTCATAATAGATTAATCGGAATAATTTGCTACTGGTATTATTTGCCTGAATCATATTTATAAGTATATGATTGCATTGAAGTTGGTGTAAGTAGTAAATCAATGTACTATCCAATGTTTGGACATGCAGTCTATGGTGTGTTCATCTGGACTATTCAAGGCAGCATTTGCGACTTTATTTTGCCCCTCTAAACTTCCCAAAGAGTCTCAAAGCGTTGAATCGTGAATGGAATTTGTTTAAACCACAATTTAGCGAAACAGTTGCCGCATATTAATTTGCCTGCATGCATCGATCTGAATTGAAAACGTGCCGTAGTAAAAACTATCTCGATATAATAAACAGTTAATTAAAAAGGCTGTGCAAAGCGGAAGTAATAACTATACTAAACCGCAAACTAGATAAAGCTATATTTTTAAAGACTTCCGTGTCTGTAGATTTTTGCACAGGATGCATTTTCTAATCTAAATTTATTTTGATCAAAAAGTATACTGAATAAGCTCCAATACTAAGGTGGACAATTCTGTAAGGTGCGTCATTTGGAGGTTGGAAAGCCGAAGGACCTGGAAGTCAGATACTGTGTATCATATGTAAGATGTCGCATATCCTTCTTCTACTATATAAATTGATTAATTAAGATTTTCTTTGTTTCAATAGGTTAATTCCATACGATGGCTGGTTTAGTTTTTTCCATTTTATTTGGTCTCAATTTTTGTTATTACCTTGTGAAGGTAGAACTCTAATGAATTAGGGTCAATCTTTTATGATACAAGCACAAGCATCGATACAACTAATAGACAACTTTCATTTGCATTTAGGTGCAAATTGACCAATTTAGACCCCATAGGTTATTTGTTTTAATAACTAGTATCGAATACCAATCAGATACGATTTAGGTTACCCATGCATGCATGCATGCATGGAAAGAAGTTGTTGATGACATGCATTTAACCCATTGAGTTGGCGCACTCCCCCCATAACGAGTAAGACGGTTTGGAATAAGTAGTCCACCTGGGAGTAAAATAACAAAGACGAAGTAGGACGCATTAGGCGCAATGTCCCTTAAAGGGTTAATATGCTTTCTGGTTAGATTATTGGAGATTTAATTCCTTGTGTAGGTCAAATTCCCCTTCCGCCTCGTGGTGATACCTTTGTTGTTCTCCCAGGAGAAAATGTGACAATAGCGTGGAAAATTAATGTCGATATGTCACGCGTACATTGGTTCGATTGTGGGACATTTTTTCGAAAGGGCAACAGTTTTGCTGACATCTCTGCAGAGTTGGATGTGATCGAAAAACCCCAATACTCACCTGGACCATTTACATGCAAGACAAAAAAACCTTCAACATTGATTTTAAACAACGTTGACATTCATTACAATGGAATATACAGATTTGGATATACGGCAAATTTCATACAAACTACACTGGCACAGACAGTTCAAGATTATACATTTTTACCCTACTTTTCACCAAAATATTTTGCAAAATCCTTAATAGACTCATTCATTTTTTTCAGTAAAGACAATTACCATGCACAATACACATTTCAACACGAATTCGTGGTCGTGGAACATGCTTATTAACCATATTACACTTCAATCCCTCTACTCTAAAAAGAATAGAACATGCAAACAAATTACAAAATACAAATCCCAGCAAGAATGGCGGTCTAAAATAAATCGCATGCACACAGTTACATGTAAGAAAAGTGTGTGCGAATAGTATTTTTATTAATTCTGATACTACAGAGAACAACAAGAGAAACGAAACTTATATTTCATCTTACATTGCAGCATCTGTATAGTATTACATTTCAGAGACCAACTGTGACATTGAGTTGTTCCAGTCCTATATCACAGTAGATAAAGGTGACAATGTCACATGTGTATGTATAGGTAAGGTGGAAATCCTTCAGTCAATGTAACTTGGTATGCTGATAAAGATGGCGTCCATGCAGATTGGTGGAACAGGAAAAGAAGAACAAACATTAACTCTAAGTAATGTGGATAAAACAACGTCAACTCCGGAAAATGCCGTATTTGGTGAATCAGTTGTGATAACGCGTGTGAAGCTATAGCTGTGCCTTTACCAAGTTATACCATAATCCATAACAGTTACTGAAATCGTCAGTACTCACAAGACTTATATAATAACCATTTTGAAATACAGTGATGCTGGGTCATATCAATGTATTGCAACAAATATACTTCAAAATAGTTTAAAGGCATTCAGTTTGTCTGTCGGAGGTAACTGCAACATATGCAATCTTTTCTATGATAATTGCATTGCCTTTTAAATTAAAAAGTATACTGTAGTCCATCAAACTTAAAATGTATCTAGGCAAATAGAGCGGATTCCTAACAATTAATGTGATTTCATTTCCGGTAACACGAACAACGAATGCTCCAACTACAAAAGATTTCGAAGCAGGTAAGGTGGTTTTCTTTTCCCAACATGGTTCAGAAAGTATGTTTGTTTTCTTTTTAACTCTTCTGAGCTACCCAGTACAGTATGTAGAAACAAGTTGTTTAGAAAATCATTCTTCTTAATTGTTCTTCTAAATTGTTCATATTAATTTTCAGCAAAAGCAGCTTTAGAAGAAGCGAATCGCAGTGGAACTGTATGGTATATGGTTGTGGTAATCTTGGTGTCTGGGATTATCATTGGAATTCTTCTTTCCTATATTGTCTTTTGTTCTCGTCGTAAATTTAGAAGTAGGAAACCTCAGTCAAATCCTGAAACAAAGGCAACTGAAGTTGATATACAACTTACCAAGAGCTTGATCTTTCAAAAATGAACACAGAGGATAATTATCAATCACTAAGAGTGAATGCCGCAAATGACGAGGAGGCAACTTACACTGAGTTGAACAAAACCAGAGATGTGGAGGACAACTACCAATCTTTAACTTGAATCTGGAATATTATACTTATATAGGATAGGGTTAGGTGTGACAGATTTTGTAAAACTACAGTATTAAACCAGACCACCACGGTAGTCAATTTATCCCGGGCGTTCTGTGACCCTCGTCCGCGATCATATCAGATCATGTCAGCGGCTCAGCATTTAGCATTAATTAACACAATTCGAATTCGCGCGCGAGTTATTAATTAAAGATATTATTTTGATTGAATATAATACACTTAAAAAGTAAACGTGACACTATAACTCTAACCCTAATCTAACCGAAAGGTATTGTATAAAGGCAATCTTAGGAAAAATCTTAAATGAAAAAATATGAGAACGAAAAACAAAACATTGGCCATTGTGGGATCGAACCGCCGGTTGGCAGCATGTTAGATCGCACGCAACGCCCTATACAAACACGCCACCGGCATCGACTGAAATATAAATGCAGAAAATCTA